CTAACAACACGCCCAGTGTATGGCACACTTGAGCCATTGGTGCTATCACCGTCAGTTCACCCGAGTGAGGATCTTCCTCTGCTTCACCATCCTCCTCACTTTTCCAAGTATCTTGTCCTTCTCCAAGGATGAGCCTTTCCTAGCAACATGTCCAAAGTGTGTAATAGCCACATGCCCAAAGTATGTAAGACAGAGCTTTGCCATTTTTGCCTTCTGGGAGCACTTTGGCGGCATCTTCTCCAAGATACATCTGTTTGTTCCTTTGGCAGTCCGTGGGATGTTCAGTACTCTAGTCCAACACCGCAATTCAAAGGCATCTATACTTCTGTCGTCCTCATTCATTATCCAGCTCTCAGCAGTATAGCATATGATTAAAAAGACCATCGTCTGAATTAGGCATACCTTAGTGTTCAAGCTAATATTACTTTTTCTCAGTATTGTGGAGCGCTCCTGACTGCAGACTGTCCCAATGCAATATATCTCCTGATTGCTGGTACCAAGTGTATTGATTTTTTTTTTCTTTTGCTCTTCACATTATTTTATTTTTAAAAATTTATTTACATGTAATTTTTCATATCTATAAAGTTTGAACATGTACTTTGTGTTTTATACAATCATACATATACATTGTGTTTTATATAATTACCATTCCTCTATACCTATTATCACCCTCCACATTTTTTCAAGCCCCCATTGAACCTTTCTCATTACTTCACACCTCCTCCACCCACTAACCTCTGCTAACCCAGTGATTGTTCCGCCTTTACCTTTTCTCTGCCTCCCTTCTCTCTTTTCCCTTCTGAACATTTATACATGTCTTACTCAGTTATATTCTGTTTTTTACAATAGTGGTCTTATGTAATATTTGTCCTTATGGGACTGAGACATTTCTCTCAACAAAATGCTCCCTACACTTTCCCAAGTTACCTAGTATTTTACGACATCATTGCTTCTTAATACTGCATGGCATTCCATTTCATAATCCCACAATTTCACAATGTTCATGTATTGATGATATTTGTACTGCTTACATTTTCTTTCTATTGTGAATAACTCTGCTATGAGTATAGGTGTATCAATGTCCATTCATGTTCTTATTTCCTTGAAATATATTCCTATCAGTGCAATAACTGGATCATATGGGATTTCTATATTCAATTTCCAACAACAATAGCAAAGTTCAATAAAACAGCAAACAATAAATGTTGAAGATACAGACAGACTGGAACTCTTATGCATTGCTGGTGGGATTGTAAAATGGTATAACTTTATGGAAGGTGTTGCCTCAAAAAAATTGAATATAGAAATCCCATATGATCCAGTTATTGCAAGTGTATTGATTTTTGATCCAAGTCAGAAGATGTTGCTGACAGTTTCAATCTATTCCTGATGTATTACAATATTCTGGCAAAGTTCAGATCTGTTGTTCATATGTTGCTATGAGTCATACTTACCTTGATAGCAACTAACCACAAAAGCAGTAACAGCAGCAGCTGTAAATGTCCAAAGTATGTGAGACAGAGTGTCACTATCCTTACCTCCAAGGAGTACCCTGGCTGTATCTTTTCCAAGACATGCTGCTTTGTTCTTTTGACAGTCTGTGGGATACTCTGTACTCTTCTCTAAAAACCAAAACTCTTCTTCTGTCATCTTTATTCACTATGCAGTTTTCAGCTACACAGCAAGTAATAAAAATGATTATAGTTTGGATCACATGCACCTTAGTTTTCAAACAGATTGTTGTTCTTCAGCACTTTGGAGAGGTCTCTGCCAGTAGACTTTCCCAATTCAGTTTGTCTTTTAATTTCCTGACTGTTGGTCCATTATGTTTCCAAGTAAGGTGAAATAATTGACAATTTCTGGCTCTTCTCCATGTATCATGATGTTACCTATTGGCTTGGTGATAAGGTTTTTGTTTACTTGATACTGAAAAGTTAGATAAACACAACTGAAAAGATTTCTTTCTGTCTCTACCATTTTTGTTTCTCTTAATGTGCATCAAGTACCCTACTGAGGTTTTACATGGTAATGTAGAATAAAAATCACATGTAGAATAAACCCTTATACCTCACTATTTCTTTCAAAGTTAGTCATCACCTTTACTTACTATATACCATAGATTATATACTGAAATAGCACAGTGCAAAGTATTAATAAATGCCTGTGTTCAAGAACTAAAATAGCAAGAAATTAAAATCATTATAAAAACAAGCAACTCCACACACTGAATATCTATTGATATCTTGGTGCCATGATATGATGATAGGTTAGTAACATATTAGTAGATAATCATGAGTTAATAATCGATGCATTATTAAGATATGGGCTAGTAGATGAATATGGGTTAGTAACCTGTAAGTCTAGAAGAGTTCTCTAATTCCAGGGCACCTAGGAGATGATTGCATCCTTTAAGTACTTTTGTATTTTCTAGTAGATTTTTGTCACTAAACTCATTGTAAACTCTTCAAGAGGATATTATGTTTATTAACCTAGGAGAATGTCTAAATCGAAGTATTTAATGCATATTTATAAAATGGAGAAAGAAGATGTACTGAATCCATAAGTAAGATAGAAGTACTGAATCCATAAGTAAGATAGAAGAAGGTGATTTCTAGCAAACAATCTAATGTGACCTAAGAAAATGATTTAGAATACTGATTGAGGCATCATCACATTTTTATTGTAATATATGAAAGCAATTGAGAGCGTTACGTGTGTAACCTAAATGATCAGAATTATTTTCATCTCCTTAAAATAAGCTGAAATTGAGTAGAAATGCATCTGAGAGCTGGGTAGTCAATAAGGTTGACAGAAGAATTTCTGCCTTTGCATTTTCTCGAAAAGTTGGAAATAGAAATACCATTTTATCCAGCATTTCCACTACTGGAAATTTACCCTAAATAAACCATAACTGCCACCAAAGCTGATATATGCACACCCATGTTTATTGCAGCTTTGTTCGCAATAGCAAAGAGCTAGAAACAACCCAAGTTCCCATCAACAAATTAATGGATAGAGAAGCTCTGGTATATTCACACAATGGAATACTATGTACCATTGAAAAACAAGGAACTCATGAAATATGCAAAATGGATGATTCTGGAGGATATTAGGCTGAGTGGGGTAACTCAGTCACAAAAGGACAAATATTGCATAGGACCACTGTTGTAAAATGGGACTGACATCAGGCTTGAGGGAGACAGAAAGGGAAGGGAGGAATGATGTATATTGTATCGAAACAGATGAGGGAGAGATCTGTTTAAATGGGACATATGAATGGGTGTACTTGTCATTACAGAATTCCAGAGAGAAACTGCTTAGTGGAGTGGACTTGCGGGGAAGGGGTTACATAACAAGAAAGAGTTTTTCTTTTCAAGGAGAAGAGTGAATTGAGGGGGAGGAAGTAGGCCAGGAGAAAAGTGCAACAATGACTGACTGACTAGAAACCCTAAGTCTCTGTAAACTTTCATTTAAATTAATACATATAAAAAAATTGATGCCATTGAGCTGAGGTGTTAAAGAACTGTGCTGAATACTCCAAGGACTGCCAAAAGAACATACATGTCATAGAGAAAGTATAGTCACAGTGCTCCGTGGTGGCAATGATGAGAAAACTTCATCATATATACTTTGGGCATGTTGCTAGGTGAAGCTATTTCTTGGGAAAGGACATTGTGTTTGAAAAGGTAGAAGAGAGTGAGACCTGTGACCAGATGGATTGACACAGAGACTGTAGTAATGGACTCATATGTGTCAGAGGTGGTAAGGATGGCACAGGAGAGGATGGGGTTCCAATCTGTTGTCACTATGACTTATACTTGACTCGAAGACACCTAACAGCAACAATATTGCAATGGAAAAGTCAGCTGTCAGGGACCTCCCCAAGGTGTTGAAGAACAGTGATGATGGTGTAAAAGCTAAGATATGCCTGATTCAAGCCGTGGTCTTTTCAGCTATTTCCTATATATCTGAAAGTTGGACAATGACTAAGGATGACAGAAGATTTAATGCCTTTGAGTTGTGGTGTTGGAGAAGAGTACTGAATATCTTATGGACTGTCAGAACAAATGTCTTGGTGCAGACGGGCTGCTCCTTAGAGTCAAGGATGAAGAACCTCTGTCTCACATACTTTGGACATGTTGTTAAAAGGGGACAGTCCTTAAAAAGAACATCATGCTTGGAAAAGGTGGAGGGTCAGTGAATGAGAGGAAGACCTTCAACACATAGACTGACACATTGGCTGTAGCAGTGGACTCCAGTATTTCAAGGATAGTGAGCATTGTTCAGGTCTGTCTGCTGTTCATAGGGTCGCAGTGAGTTGTCGTCAGTTTGATAACACCTAACAATAACAGCACTGACCTAGTATAAGGAGTTGACATTGCTAAACCAATGATAGTTCAAATCTGCTAGCTGTTCCACAGGAGAAATATGGGCAAATTTCCTGTATGATGGAAAGAGTCTCTGAAAACCTGCTAGAAAGCCAGCTATGAGTAGGTTTTCGATTCATGGGCACACACTGTCAACAACAGCACTCCTCTAGTTTTGATTTTTCTTTTGCCTAAATTCCTATAACTAAGCCTTTCACTTTCCAGTTCTTAAGGTTTTAAGTTTTCTGTGCTTTTTTAAAAAAGATACCACTAATATTCTCAGCAACACTGAAATTCTCAGCTTTTAAAAAAATCTTAAATTTATAATTGTGATTTCTTTAGAATATTCTGTTAAAAATATGTTCTTTTCTATTTATAGTTGAAAGAAATTGTTATCATTTCATTGGAAAACATTTGCATAGTTTTGCTTATGAAAATACTATGTAGTATAAAATACATTCTTCTAAGTTTCAGCATATGATACATGTTTCAGCATATGTTTGCATGTTTCAACATATGATACAATATGTGTTTAAGTGACATTTTGATGGACTGATAATTTCCATATATGTGTACACACACACACACACACACACACACACTAACCATAACTTTTCTTAACCTTTTTATTAGGGTAACACATTAAGGAAAATACTCCTCCATCGCTATTTTAAAGGTGATTATGGAGTTGGAATGAATGGCCACCTATCAGGAGCGTATTCCAAAAGTACTCCAGTGGGAGGTAAAACTTGTTATTTTTTTCTGTTAATGATTCTTATATATTCATGCAAGTGCTACTCTTAATATTTTATCTAAAATAACACCAAAAAAAGATTAAAGAGCATTACTAAAAATCCTTACCTAACTTGAAAATTTGTTGAGCAGTAGAAAATGTGTTTGCCTTTTGGCTTCGAAAAGACTAAACTGAATTACCATTTTTAATTTGTAAATCTAAAGAATAAGTAAGACTAGTTTTTATAAAGAAAAATAACATTGAATAAGAAACTAGACATTTAGTCAGACTTTTAAAAATAAGTTTTATTTTAATCCCACTTTTCTATTTTATTTAGTTTTTGTAGGTTAAGAAGTCCCAATGGTAAATATTCTTAAGGTATAAATGCTCAAACAGCATACTTGTTCTTTCTATATTCTTTTTGTATCTTTTCTAATCACAGGAGGCTTTTCTGGACAAGATACAGATAAGATGGGAATATCAATGTCAGATATTCAATGTCTTCTGGATAAAGAAGGTGCATCTGAACTCGTCATTGATGTCATAGTGAATACAAAAAATGACAGGATTTTCTCAGAAGGCATTTTACTTGGCATTGCATTGCTTGAAGGAGGAAATACACAAACACAGGTACCTGCATGTCATCATGAGATTTGTGTTCTTCATTTGATTTTTTTTAACTTACTTGTCTTTAGACAAGTTATTAGAGCTAAGGAAAGTTATGCTTTTCTTTAGGTTTTAATTATTGTTTTAGAAAAAACTCAGTTTACTACATTTTCCTTACAAATAGTTCTCATCTTTTGTAGAAACTTAAAAGAACTTCACAAACTGTTCAGTAAAGCTGACTAATCCTTAGAGCCATCTTTTTCGTGTTATAGTAGAAATTCTGTTTTGTTTCGGGACATTTTAGGGAAAAATCCTGAAGATAAAAAAGTAACACTTTGACTCATCTATGAATTAACTTTGTTAATTGAATGAAATAACGTACTCCTGAAGAGTATTTGGTATTATAGCAGGTTTCAGTAACATTAACCACCCATTTCATTACCACCCCCATATTCCTTTTCAGAGGTGTAGAAGTTAACTACTTGTCACCCCAAATCTCATAGTGCTCATTAACTTTACAGTTCTGTAATGCTAAAAAATTCACTCTATTCCATTATACTAAAACTCATAAGAAAAATATGCCTGGTTAAGTGAATTTCCCCACCCCACAGGTAGGATAGAGAACGGCTGAAAAATCTTATTCCACTTCTCCAGCTGATTTGTAATCAAATGCCATTTCTCTGACATTAAACTGTAATAATAAATTTAATTCAATTCAGTTCTCAGTTGTGTTCTCCTACATTGCACTCCGATGCTGACTCCAGTTGCATACGTAGCACTTTTTTCCCTTTAACCTTGACCACTTGAAATGAGGTCAGACCTCACAAGTTAAAAGTTACCAAAACCACCCAAGACCTCTGATGCCAGATACAAGCGTGACATCTTCACTTCTGACTTGTTGTTGTTGTTTTGTGCTGTCTAGTTGCCTGTGACTCTTAACAACCCTATGTACAATAGCTCTGAAGTCTGCCTTGTTCTGAGCCGTCTCATTGACTCCAATACACCTACCCGCATTGACCCAATTTACTGTATCAATCCATCTTATCTGGGGTCTTCCTCTCCTGGGCTGTCCATCCACCATTCTGAGCACAATGTCCTTCTCTAAGGATCAGTCCTTCCTGGTCACAAGCCCAAATTATGTGAGCTGGAGCTTTAAAATCCTAGCCTCCAAAGAAAGACTTGGTTTCATCTTCTCCAAGACAGACCTATTTGTTTTCTTGGTGGTCCTTGGTATGTTCAAGACTCTTCTCCAGCACCACAACTTGAAGGCATCCATCCTTCTATCATCCTTTGTTATTGTCCAACTCTCTGATGCATAGCTAGTAATTGTGAAGACCTGTGACAACAAATTTGGAAGTTTTTCATTTTCTCTTTAAGATAATGTGTCTGAGGTGTACCCAAGACCCCTCATTTCTGTTGTTCTGTCTCCCTTCGGTTAGATAATTCATGAGAATGACTCATGGGACTTGTAGAAAGTGTTTTATTTATGATTACAGTCTTATTAGGGGAAAATGACACAAACTAAGAGCTGCATGAGGCATTGTCTGGAAGGGTTCCCAACATGGAGCTTCTGTCTTGAGAAAGGGCACACTACCTTTCTATATGGATCTCTGCCTGTCACCAACCATAGAATTCATAGAGTTTCCATGTCCAAGAGCTATTACTGGTGGTCTCATTATGTAATTAAAACTTTGCCCTGTATTTTGGATTTAGTTGACATTACAAAGTTAGTATCAGGAGGTTGAGGTCATACATTGGTCTTTCTGGCAATTAGCTTGCTCCCAGCATAAGTCTTTAATCCCCAGATGTGGTCTGGAGGATTCATCAAAGACACCTCCATCACCAGGAAAATTCCAAGATTTCAGAGGTTGTTTCTCAGGAAGCATGTGAAAAGACCAAATTCTTTAGGTAAAGTTAACCTGCTTCCCAAGAACCGTTTCACTATTTATTGGACTTTGGAGGAGTAAGTTGAAAGTCATCTTTCATTCATGTGGTGTTTCACCATACGGAGTAAAATGGTCCCGTGCAAGAAGGGAATCAGACTATTGTTCTTGGAAGGCAGACTTTTCACTTTGAAGCTACTGCAAAGTTATTCCTAGGTTCCTCTAGACCCAAAGCAAGGCATGCTGGGTGAACCCAAGCAAGGTGAGCCCTGTTCTCAGAATTCCTGGATACTCCTCCTGGTCCAGCTGCCCATAGCCTGCTCGCTCTAGGTTTGCCTTTGTCAGTAGATGAAACTATTAACAACTAATTGAAAATTTCACAATATTTTTTCATTAATCATGGCAATTAAAACACACATCTAGTGATCTTAAAAACGAGTTTGTTTTCTTTTAACTTGCCTCTGAATACTTTGAATAGTTGGGATTTTCACTATACTACATATTCAGTAGGAATTAATGCTTGCATTAGATAGAAAGGTGTAATAAAGACAAAAATACCACCGTCCCCCATCTCCTCTAACCCCATACCTGCAAACATTAATATTTTGTAAGATACCCACCGCTGTCTAGTCAATTCTAACTCATAGCAAAATTCCATTGATTTCTGAGAGTGTGCATTCTTGGAAAAGAGACTTTCCATCTTTTTCCTGTGGAGAGACTTGTGGATTTGAAACACTGACTTTTTAGTTGCAAGCTCAGCCTATAATAAGCACAACCATGGCTCCCTTATTGCAAAAATATGTCTCAAAAATTCATGTGGTTCTGAAATGGTCGCACACTTTACACTGAAGGAAATTGAAAAATGAAATGGTGGAGATATTTGACTGTATATTCTTGGAAATTGTCTTATCTCATACAATCAAGTTTTCAGTTTGGAATTTCCACAGAAGCTTAATATTTGACTTAATATTTGACATTGATTTATCCAGACAATAGTAGTTAAGGGTATTTTGGGTAGCTCTTGGTAGAAGCAATTGTAATTACAGTACTTTATAAGTTCTTGGTTTGGGGTCACTAAAGGTCATCAGATGGGACATCAAATTTCACCCTTCATACATATTTATTCTTAAGTATGTCTTCATATAGCTAAACTGGGAAATAAGCCAGTTCTTATCATAAACTATGTGCTACTATTAAATTCCTGGCAAGTTGGTCCATATTGCTGTTTAGTCTTTATTTAGATAGTTCTGTGGCATTTGTCACTGGAGACTTTGTCGCCTTAAACCTCTGGAAGCAGCACGCATTCCTCTCTTCTTTTTACCTCTTACTGTATCTCCTTAGTTTTCTGTGCCTCTTCCTATCCTTAATGCTTTGAACGCTGACATTTCCCATTACTTTGGGCTCTACCATGTTGATTCTACTCTTCTGATCTGATCTCATTAATTTCTACATCTTTTCTTTCCATTCTAAGCTAATTATTCTCAAACATACATCAATTTACTCGCTAGAGTTCCAGACTCTAATCCCCGCCACCTTCTAGAATCTTCACTGGGCCATCCTACAAACACCTTAAACACGACATGTCTCAACCAGAATCCATGGTTATTCTTCAGACACCGACTTCTCCTCATTCATTGCCTCTGTCAGTGACTAGAAGTCTCTCTACCATTTGTTTGACTAGAACAGAAATTCACCCATGAGAATTTACCTGCAAAATTCACTCTTCCTTCCCCTTAGTTCATCCGAAACCTTGCTGGTTATTCATTTTTGTGATTCTTCCTTCTCAACATCTTTAACATACATTTTGTACTTTCAATTGCTATTTTCCAAACCTTTATGATGATGTTGTTGTTGTTGTTGAGTTTCATAGAGTCAAAACCAATCCATAGCTGACCCTCTAGTGGGCTTTCAGAGACAGTTAATTGCACGGGAAGAGATTTCCCATTCTTCTCCTGTGGAACAGCTGGTGGCCTTGAACTGTGTGCCTTCAGAATTGCAGCGCAGCTTCTTGCCCCTAGGCTACCAGTGAGAGATTTTTTTTTTTACCCTGGGCCATGATGAATAATCTTTCAACTGGTATGCCTGTCACCAGCATGCTTTACTCCAAATTATTCTCATTGTTACGTCCAAAGAGATCTTTCTGAATTCCTTTCCTTCCTCAGAATATGTCACTTTCCTAGTTTAAAATAAACAACACCAATTCATTGTCATTGAGATAAAATAAACTCATCAGTGAGTCTCCATTGAGTTTCTAAGGCCTTAAATCAATATGAGAAGAGGATTGTTCATCTTTCTCTTGTGGAGGTGCTGATATATTTAAATATCCAGAGAGACTTTGAGTTAGCAGGCCTTCTCTCTACAGATTCCACCACCAGAACTTGTTACTGTCCGTCTCCCCTCCACTGTCTGTGTTCTTGAGTTCTAGCTATACTAAACATGTAGTTCATTAGACATGTTGTAGTATTTTTCATGCTGTATTCTCTTTTAAAATTCAGCTCACTAAATTCCTCTTTCAAAAGTCTTTGTCCTTCAGTTAGTTCATTGGGCAGAATTGAGCACTATTTCTATGCATACTTTCTGTACTGTATGGTGGTGGTGTTGATCTTTGATGGCACTGGGTCTTAATTGTGCTTATTCATTTAGATGGCCTGCTCTGATTTTTAAACTGCAAATCCTAAAAGATTGATACCGCATACTGTTCATTTTCTTTTTCTTGTGTCTGGTGCTGTATCTAGCCCAATTTATGAGTTCAGGAACTGTCCCATAGTGAAAATATCTATTAACGAATGTTCCTGTTAAAATTCTACACTTTTAATAGAATATTGCCTGTCTAATGGGGGCCTTTGGTAGTGACTCTCTTACCTGAATTCCTGTGTCACTCATTTCAGTAATCCTTACCACTTTACCAGTGCTACTTTGTTTTGCTTTTTGTTTTATTGCATATTGCCTATTCAATTTTACTTTCATTTTTATAAAAAGGATTACATACAAAATTCATACCTACTTTATAGCCATTCAACAGATATTTTAGACGAACAATGTTAAATCAACTTTCTGTGTTAAAGCCTTTAAAAATTATAATAATGATTTCTACTCATCCTTTTCCTATGCAGGCTTCTTAACTTTCATCTGCATCCTTATATAATCTCTATGTCATCTGTGGGATTCTGGCTCTGGTTGAAAGTCTGGTTGAAATCAGCATAAATCCTGCTCCTTGCCTGATAGTAGGTTAAAACCAACTCTGCCTCGCACTTCTGCTAATCCCAATGGAGTTTTACAGCCTCCCATCTCCTTGGACATTAACATGTTATTTCTTCACTTATGGATTGTTTTGATACTCCTGCTTCTGTGACACTGATAGGAAATTCAACCCTATCTTTCATTTCTAACCTCCTAACTATATAAGTCTCTTTATATGTTTAATATTATTTCTTGAAATTCTTTTGTGGTAAGTGGATAGTGAGGATGTTTATATTATTAAAATTGAACACTGCTTTGGAAAAGCACCTAGTGGATTTGAACCATCTGCCATTGAGTTGTCATTGCAACTGATTACCCATTTGGCCACCGGAGCTCCATATGAATAACAATAACAATATTAAGTATTATTTAAAACAAAATAACAACTCATTGCCATTGAGTGGGAACTCTCTCATTGCTGAACTTCCATGGGCTTTCCTGGGGTCTAAGTGACGGGAGGAAACTGCCCTCCTATTCCCGCAGAGCAGCTGGCAGAAATGTGCTTTCTTTGGGTTATCAGCACAGCTCTCTACAGACAAGGCCACCAGAGCTCCCTGTGATGAGAATAATATCTGCCAACTACCCGGCCCTGATCGGAGTGCCTAATATGCGTTAAGTCAGTTACAGTGACTTCTGAGATAATTTATATTATACCATTTTTCAAATGAAGACATATGATACAAATTCCTTACCTAAACTCTTACAACTAGTTAATTTTAACCAGGATTTGAACCCATCATTCCAGATTCTGTAACTGTCTATTCTCAGTTCTCACCACCGGTTTCATCAGCAAATTCAACTTGTATTGTGCTTTGGATTCATTCTATCTCTAGCTTTCTACCTCACCCCTCTGTTCTTTTCTTTACAATCACAGTCTCCCCATTCCTTCTCATTGATGGCAAGGCCTTCCTCTGTCACAGAGGTCTATTTATCCTTTACCCATGACCCCTATAGAAACCTTAGCACTTTATTTTCTGTGTCATTTTGTAGTAATTAAAAAAAAAACTCATACACACACACACACACATCATTCCTAAGAGAAAGCCTCATGTTACCTGTTAAGATTATGTATTTTTGTATGCTATTGAACCAGTCCCAGCCACAGCCACCCTATATGACAGAGCAGAATGGCCCCATAGAGTAACCTTGGCTGTAGTCTTTACAGACGGTAATCAGGTCTTTTCTCTCACAAAGTGGCTTGTGGATTTGAAATGTTAACCTTTCAGTTACCAGTCAATCACTTAAAAATTTTTGCCACTCAATCTCCTTTAACATTATGTAACTATATATAGAACATACTTTTTAACTTACATTAAAATCCTGCTTCTCAGTTTCATATAGTACTGGATTTCCAACAGTATAGGCTATGTACACAGCCTGTTGATTTCTGCTGAAGGTTACTTTTACATTTCAGCCATGTAGAATTGGAGAGATCTGAATCCCCGCTCTGTCACTTAATAGTTATGTAACACTGAATGAATCACTTCACTTCACTAGATCTCATTTTCTTAATGTTTAAAGTAGAAATAAGAGCACTTTCCATTTATTTCATAGTTGTGTTGTAGCTTTCAGTGAGATGATGCACATGAAGGAATTTTATACTTTAGAAAACTTTGTGTTAATAAGGCCACAAGGTTTCTAAAAATTCCTCATTAATATGTCAGAGCTTCCTTCCACCTTCCACCTTCCACCCCTTTTATATTAAAAATATTAGGGATTAAGCAGTTTCATTTGTAGGACCATAGAGGTCTGCTAATGTTGCATTTATCCTATGAGTTAACAGAAACGGTGTGACTGTTCCAATGGAGTTGCTATAGTTACTGTGATTTTTTTGGCCTGCTTCCTAGAGGAATTGTTCATCCTCTGTTCTGGAGCTGCCCCTTGTAGGTATGGAGCCGACTTATAAGGTTTCATGAGACCTCGGTGTATGTGCATTATCCATATCTAAAATTGCTGGACAGGCAATCATTTCTAGACCTCATGGCATTAGTCTCACAAGTCACAGGATCTGGGGGCTGGGGTTCTAGGGTTCCTTATGAAGAGCAGATATGTGGCAGCTAAACTCCCCCACCAGGAGGTTTAGATTTTTTTTTTTACTGGATTATGTTCATTTCTACTTGGTTTGGGTGAAAATACATGTTTAGTGCTGTTCATACACTTTCTCGGATTCTCATCAAGGTTAGAGAACTCTTTCCTTTGTACCGCCAGCACAAAGGTTTTGAGGGAGAAAGATGGGCAGTCTCCTCATATAAAGCCGCTGAAAGCCTTCTGGAGAGTCGGCCGTGAGTCATTTGTGACTCAGTATCACACAACAGCAAGCACTGCAGCTACTTGTATTGTTCTCTTTATCTTTACCCTATATATCTTATTGGTAGTGTACCTATCCCATACAATTTCCTGGGGTTAACTTGTAATTCTTCTACTCTTCTCTGCAGTGTATCACCTTTACCTCTTGCTTGTTTTCTTGGAGACTTTGGTAAGGCACTGAGAAGATAGTGACAGGTTGAATATTCTCAAGACTCTGTATTTCTAGATTGCACTAATAATCTATTTCATGATAATTTTAGTGTTGAATCCTTTATAAATCATTATTAACCATAAAGCAAAATTTATTTTAAGATGACCTTGTTCTCAGTCCTGAGGCAAATTGTTCTTGTTAGGTACCATCAAGTCAAGTACGACTCACAGCAACCCAATGTAAAACAGATGGGAACCCTGTCCCATCCTGTACACATTTGAGCCCATTGCTACTGTCACTGTGTCAATCCATCTCATTGGAGGTCTTTCTGTCTCTCAGTGACCCTTCATCTTTCTAAGCATGATGTCCCTTTCCAAGGAACAGCTTCTCTTAACAACATGTCCAAAGTATGAGGGATGGAGCTTTGTTATTTTTACCTCGAAGCAGTCTTCTGGCTATGCTTTTCCCAAGGCATATGTTTTTTGTCTTTTTGGAAGTCCAGGAATATTCAACATTCTTCTCCAGCACCACAAATCAAAGGCATCAGTTATTCTTCTGTCATGCATAGGAGGTGATTGAAAAGATGGTGACCTCAATCAGACTCACCTTAGTCTTTAAGCTAACATCATTGCTCCTAAGTATTTTGGAGGGCCCTAACAGCAGACTTGTCCAGTGTGACATGTCTCCTGATCTTCTGAATGCTCATACCAAGGGTGTTGATTTTGATCCAAGCAAGATGAAATCATTGACTGTTTCGTTCTTTTCTTCATCTATCATGATGTTGTTTGTTTGCCCCATGGTGAGGACCTTTGTTTTCTTGATGTTAAGATGTTATCTGTCTGACATCTACATTGATATCCCTAGTGACATGGCATCTTCTATACACAATTTGAACTCTTGAAAGTCCCTTTGATAATTAAGCACCAAAACAATTTGGTACCCATTTATCAGTAGACTCTCACAAGTGAGTCTGTTATCGTAACTTAAATGCAATTAAATGTACTAGGAATAGGATAAAGAGAAAGAAAAATGACCTTTCGCAACTCCAAATAAAACCACTTTACATGGGATAATTACTGGATTAAGGATTCGTTTTTCACTCTGAATTATAAACTCAGGAGGATAAGTATTATGATTGCTTTTAATTTCCATTCTACTTGTGTCATAAGGCCTGGCACTTAGTAGGCATTCTAAAAATATGTGTCAGCTCAATGCCTGTCTCTATAGTAACATAAAGATTAAAGAACTATTTTCATACAATTTCTTGCACTTTGCAAATCTTTTTGCTATATCCTAAGATTAAGCATGAAAATATGTGGGATTTGGTGAAAGGTGTAAATACATAGAACTAGTACTAGAGACATTAAATAATATAAGAAAACCTGTCAATCTGCAAAATAGTAATGGGTAGTATAATAAATGTGTGATTTTTGGCTTTGAAACTTATATTTATGTTTCATAAAAACCACTGTTTTTGTTCTCGTGGGTACTGATATCTTAAAATATGTTTTCTTGCAGTATTCTTTCTACCAGCAGTTGCATGAGCAAAAAAAGTCAGAAAAATTCTTCAAAGTTTTATATGACCGAATGAAAGTTGCTCAGAAAGAGATAAGATCAACAGTAACTGTGAATACTATAGACTTAGGCAGCAAAAAAAGAGATGATGACAATGAACTTATGCCATCTGGTCCAAGAATGAGAGGTAAAGATGTGCTTGAGTATTTGGGAGGCTTGAGTAAGGAAAGGAAGATCAACAGAATAGAGACCTCACTTGCCTTTGTTTTCTCAGTCTGATTATCCCAACTCTGGCTGTCAGCATGGAGTTCAATCCTTCAGTTCCATAGTCAAGGAAATAAAAAGCTGTGCAGGATAAAATATGGATAAGATGCTATCAATGGCAATCGACCAGTGACATAAAAATGTTTAGTTTTGCTGTTACTTATATAAATAAGAATAACTATCTCACACTTTTTAAATGGTCATGAAAGCATTAAGAATAGAAATTATAGGGAGCTCTGGTAGCCTAGTGGCAAGAAGCTACACTGCAATCCCAGAGGTATGTGGTTCAAATCCACCATATGCTCTGCTGGAGAATGAGGGGCAATCTTGTCCTGTACCAGTCAGATCCGGTTTGATGGTACACACACAAATAATAAAATATAATTTTTTTAAAAAAAGAATAGAAATTATAGTTCCAATTCCTCCTAAAAGTTCAATGGCACAAGGAAGACCAAAGACATAAATTTTAATAATATTAATATGTTAAATTTTGTCATATCCCTTCACAATATTTGTATATAGGAACACTCATATTTTAGATCTATCAGAAAGACAATTCCTTCTACATTAAGCATTAAGATATTTTTATTATTTCCTATTGCAAAATAAACTTTTTGTTGCTACTTCAGCTTTGTTGTAGAAAATTATTGTGTTTATCAAATTTTTTAAATTTCCCTTTATAAAGAATTTGGGCACCAATTTTGTTTTTAGTCAGTGGAAATGAGTTCACAAATATAAAAGAATACTTCTTTATTTTCAGTAAGAGATTCATCATTACACTTAAAAGAAGGAATGAAAGGGCAACTAACAGAAGCATCTTCAGCAACATCCAAAGCATATTGTGTGTACAGAAGAGAAATGGATCCAGAAATAGACATTATGTGCACAGGCCCAGACGCAGGAAATGCTGAGGAAAAGTCTGCAGAGGAAGTAACAATGAGCCCTGCAATTGCCATTATGCAACCTATTCTGAGGTTCCTTCAGTTACTGTGTGAGAACCACAACCGGGAACTACAGGTATTTATTTCCTTCTGCAGACTCAACCATCAAGTGCATTCAGATCTACGCTGGGGGCTGAGACTAAAGCTTATGGTTATAAGTAATTAAGTTTAAAATCAACAGGGACTTTTAGAGAGATAATCAATAAAGCTAACACTGCTCTTCTAAAATGAGATGGAACTGTTGTATCTAAGTGAAGAAAGATGTGAGGAAAATTCCTTTATGCATGAGGAAAAATCAGGCTCATCTATTATCATTCTGTGCATCCTCAAATCACTGTTTAAGCTTCATTGAACAGCATCTAATCCTAGTACCCTGCTCTGAGCTCAGAAGGTCATATTCACCTCCTCTGTACCATTCGTGATTTTATAGACTTAAGGGCCTTTCATTAATTCCATCTCAATGCATATTTAAAAAACACTTTTATGGTAAAAATATATACCCTAGAACATTCACCAGCACAAATTTTACTTGTACAGATCTCCATATATTTTAAGAAAGGATATTAATGTCTTCTAGTGGTGCTGCTGAGCTAAAGGTGGTGTCTCTCTGGCAGTTCAGGTCTACCAGCAGCTGTGCTGAGATGGGTGAGCTGTCTCCTCCATGTGATTGACAGCCTTTGAAACCCGCTAGAGGACAATTTCTGGGGTGAGACACCCTTGGAAAAATGGGCAAGCAGAAAAAGAAAGCTTTCTTTTTTCTTTTTCTCTTATTTTGTTAATTTGTTTAATCACCTATTTGAATTTGTTTTCACCACCCTTACACAACTGGGTTTTTTTTTTATTAATTTTAATGAAAGTTTACAGACTTAGGATTTCCAGTCTTTCATTGTTGCACTTTTCTCCCTGCCCACCCCCACCCCCCATTCACTTTTCTCCTTCATAAGTAAAAGAAAGTCTCTTTCATTGCTATGTAATCCCTCCTCCCAAGTCCACTGCACTGTGCAGCCTTCATTCTGGACTCCTGACATGACAATAATACCTAATCATGTATCCCTTTTAAACAGTTCTCTCCCTCATCTGTTGCAATGCAGTATACATCATTCCTCCCCTTCTCCTCTGTCTTCCTTCAACCCCAATGCCAGTCCTGTTTTACAGTAGTGGCCCTATGCAATATTTGTCCTTTTGTGACTGAGATATTTCACTCAGCATAATGTCCTCTAGGGTCATCCACTTAGCGTAATATTTCATTAATTCCCTATTTTTCAATGCTACATAGTATTCCATTGTGTGAATATACCAGAGCTTCTATATCCATCCATTTTTTGATGGGCACTTGGGTTGTTTCCAGCTCTCTGCTATTGCAAACAAAGCCACAATAAACATGGGTGTGCATATATCTGCTTGGGTAGTGGTTATGGTTTCTTTAGGGTAAATTCCCAGAAGTGGAATTGCTGAGCCAAATGGTATTTATACAACTGTTTTAAGAAGTGGTTTCCCGCTGTTTAATAATAAAAGAAAGATTCTGCTTTTGGCAAAAAAAAAAAAAAAAGAAGTGGTTTCCACATTGCTTAAACCCACATACTCCTGCCAGTAAAATGTCTGACCAGATTGTATATGCCTTGTGTTCATGATGTCTTGACAGAATACATGGACTCCATCCACACGAAGGTATGTACCTAGAATCCTCCCTGCCTCACCCAGCTGTGAGTCAATTCCAAGTTAACAGCAAAGAATTTGACTTTTTAAAGTTGGAAACAGCATTAACATAGAAGACATTTTATAATGTTGTTATTGTTGTTGTTATGTGCCGTCGAGTCATTTGCGACTCATAGCAACCCTATGTACAACAGCCCTAAACCACGCTCTGTCCTGTGCCAATCTCATTGCGTCTGACACACCCATCCCGATTACCCCAGTCACTGAATCAATCCACCTCATAGAGGGTCTTCCCCTCCTGCGCTATCGCTCTACTCTACCCAGCATGATGTCCCTCTCTAAAGACCTGTCTCTCCTTACAACATGTCCAATGTAAGTCAGACGAAGCCCCAGAATCCTTGCCTCCAAGGAGCAGCCTGGTTTAACCCTCCCTAGGATGAATCTGTTTGTTTTCTTGGCAGTCCATGGTACATTCAATACTCTTCTCCAGCACCACAGCTCAAAGGCATCAATTCTCCTTCTATCCTCCCTAGTCGTTGTCTAATTCTCTGATGCATAACAAGTGATTTCAAAGACCATGGCCTGTATCAGGCGCACCTTAGTCTCCAGAGAGACACCATTGCTCTTGAGTACTTTAGAGAGGTCCCTAACCGCAGACTTTCCCATCGCAATACGTTTTTTGATTTCCTGGCTACTTGTGCCAAGGGTGTTGACCGTGGAGCCAAGCAAACTGAAGCTGTGAACAATCTCAATCTCTTCACCATCCATCCCGATGCTACCGATTGGTCCAGTGGTGAGAATTTTTGTCTGCTTGACATTGAGCCTCAGTCCATATTGAAGGCTGCAATCCTTGACCCTCTACAATAAGTGCATGAGGTCCTCCTCAGTTTCAGCAAGCAGGGTTGTGTCCTCTGCATAACGCAGATTGTTGATAGATTGTCCACCGATCCTAACGCCACGCTTCTCCTCATAGAGCCCAGCCTCTCAGATAATCTGCTCTGCATACAGCTTGAAAAGGTATGGAGATAGGTCACATCCCTGGCGTACACCCTTCCCAATTTTGAACCATGCCGTGTTACTGTGCTCTGTTCTGATGACTGCCTCTCGATCCAAATATAGGTTTCACATTAGCACGATTAAATGTTTTGGGATTCCCATTCTTCTCAGAGTCAGCCACAGTTTGTTATGATCCACGCAGTCAAATGCCTTTGCATAATCAATGAAACACAGGTAGACATTCTTCTGGTATTCTCTGCTTTCAGCTAAGATCCATCTAACATCAGCTACAATATCCCTAGTACCACGACCCCTTCTAAACCCAGCCTGGGCATCTGGCAGTTCTCTGCTGATGTACTGTTCCAGTCGTTTTTGGATAATCTTCAGTAGAATCTTGCTTGTATGTGAAATCAATGATAATGTTCTGTATTTTCCACACTCAGTTGGGTCGCCCTTCTTTGGGATGGGAACAAATATAGATCTCTTCCAGTCAGTTGGCCAAGTGGTTGTTCTCCAGATTTCTTGACACAACTTGGTGAGCACATCCTTTGTAAATGAATATAATCCTACGTAGTCCTTTTGTCAATGAGATAGACTTAGAGGTGCCCAAGAATTTTTGACTTTTAAAAATTTTATTTATATGCAGTGTTTTTGTAACTATAGATAAACACATGAAAAAAATTTTTAAATTGGCATGATTAAAGATAAATATGGTTTTCTAAAAGGGTTACAGTCAACAAAGCATCTTAAGGCTTGACACACCTCCCATCATGCCATGTCATCCATGCTCCTCGACACTATAGTTGACCAAAGACTTGACAGGTAAATGAACTAAAATTTCTCCAAAGAAATCCTGGGATCTGCATGATATCCTTGTACCTTGGATTTTCACTATATTCTCAGTATTGCTAAGAGTGCTTGCCCGGCGTCTATTAGAAAGACAATAGAATTTGAAGATGGCTTTCCTAGTAAGGATATAGAGAATAGCCAGTGCTCTTAGTTGTTAAGAGAGGTAGATTCTTGTGTATTGGGATAAATATCCATGAAAGGATTCCTGGGAATTTCAGGATGTGTAAAAATCCATGACTCTTGTGGATTATCCCAACATAACTTGGGGAGGACTGCCACTCAATTGTTGGGGAGCAAAGGCAGGAGCTTTGACTTTTAGAGGGAGGATTCTAGGTACATACCTTCGTGTGGACTGAGTCCATGTATTCTGTCAATATGTCATGAACATAAGACATTATAGAATCTGTTCAGACATTTTGCTGGAAGGAGTACGTGGATTTAAGGAATATGGAAACCACTTCTTAAAACAGTTGTGTAAGGGTTGTGAAAGCAAATTCAAATAGGTGATTAAACAAATTAACAAAATAATAAAAAAGGAAAAAAAGAAAGCTTTCTTTTTCTTTTTGCCCATTTTTCCAGGTGTGTCACACCCCAAAAATCACTGTTAGCACTCTATGTTTCCTTCTAGGTTTTTATGTACTTATAAGTGTATAAAGTTTATACAGTTATGCTTTTAAAAACAAAACACACAAATTTGGACTGCGACTGTACATGGTGTTTCTAACTTATGTTTTTCATTTATTATATGTATCTTTAATACATTGCTTAGCATTGTTTGTATTTCTATCATGTGGAGGTACCTTATTTTATAGTTTTTATAGTTTCTTGTACTCCAATATGTGTGATCATTTAACAAAACATGTGGTGGTGGGCATATATAGTTTCCAGTTTTTGCTGTTACAGGCAATGTGTAGTGAACACTTTTGTGTTCCTATAGACATCTATAGTATCAAAACTAACTTTCTAGGACAGGAAATATATGCAAACTGAAATTTCTAGTAGAGACTTTTGAGTTGCCTTCCAAAATAGTTCTATCACTTGTCCTCAATGAACAATGATGCTGCACCATTTATTTATAAGGAACAATTTATTTAAAAACATGGCTGCTTCTTTCCATAAAGAACCTCTTCATTCTACTTTCTTTTGTCCTTTCCCCTTCCTTAATGCCCACTATATTTATTTTCTGTATATAATTTCAAAAAAGAAAGATTCAGAAATTTTTGTGATTAATCATCCTGATACATAAAGATGCTTGCAGAAAAGCCGAGGAGACTTTTCTTCTTTAAACCTAAGGGAAATTTAATAAATGTTAACACTTTCTTAATAAAGAACAATTCCATTCACTGCTACCATGGGGATCTTTCTGACTTGAGCAAAAACACACACAGAGAGAACTAAAACAATGATTACAGTGTTTAAGACTTTTTTAACCCCTTGTGTGTGTTTTGTTTTGCCCACAGAACTTCTTGAGGAATCAAAACAACAAAACAAATTACAACCTGGTCTGTGAGACACTTCAGTTCTTGGACTGCATCTGTGGAAGCACAACTGGTGGCCTGGGCCTGTTGGGCCTCTACATCAATGAGAAGAATGTAGCTCTGGTCAATCAGACCCTGGAGAGCTTAACTGAGTACTGCCAAGGTCCATGCCATGAAAACCAGGTAACTGTGAAAGAGCTCTTCACGCAAAAGTATTCATGACTAATTTATTAGCAAATGGATGGAGTTGGTGAAAGAATAAACTTTTGTGTGCATTTGAAGAAACCTCTTTGCTTTGCCAGATATGTTTACTTTCATACCAAAATATACAAAGACCGAATTATAAACTAGTGAACACTGTGCCATGTTTTTAATTTAATTTTATTGCAAAAGAAAATTCCCATGAAAATATGCAAGATAAAGATCAGCCTTATTGAAAAGAGTAAATTCTGTTCCTTCACCGTTGTTCAACTTTTATCTTTAGTGGATCCTTCCAGGATTTGTAGAATAAACTCCCTTTGGCTCCCTAGGACCCACAGGAGTGGGTGGTTTATATTATCTCCTTTGTGTTCACAGTAAACTTTTGAAGTAGATATTATTGCTTCCCTTTTACTATTGAATAGTCTCAGACTTAAAGATTAAAGTATTTTAGTAAGCATCTCAAAGTGATGGAGTCCGTAAATGGTAGAGGTGTACTTAAAACTCAGGTCTTTTGATTCTGAGTCAGAGCACTGGTAAATACAGTGCTCTTTTCACTGTTTCACATTTTCCAGGGAAAAGTTTCTGTTCATTCATACAGAATTTTTGCCTCTGATTCCCTTTTCCTGAATTGTAAGAATGCACTGTGAGAAGTTGAAGACAATATTTGGGGCAGTAAAAGCAAGTGATGGATCACCTTGGAACATACTAATTGACTATTCAACATTATAGGTCATAAGTGTAGATATATACCTAGAAGAAAAAGATTTTCAAAGCACAAATTTTTTTTCAAACATTCTTAAACTTCATCTTGGAGAAAATAGGAATGCTAGACATAGGCAAAAATGAGAGCAGTTTACATATAACACATTACAAGAGTTTGCCAATTTTATCATAATTTCTTTATATTATTATATTTCAATCTCTGAAAGCAGTAATACCAGAAACCTCTAACTTTTGTTTTAAAGTTAAGTAAAAATATTAAAAAATACACAAATTCTTTTATTACTAATGAAATAATATCTATATTTGCATGTTCCATTATTTTTCATTATTCTATGAAAATTCTTTTTGTACACTCGTATTGTCTTGAAAATTATTTACTAAGACAGGTAAGCTTAACAGTAAAATGCAATTGTATGAACCACATATTTTGAAAAATGTGTAAAATGAGGCTACTTCCTTCTGAACTGGGGCAGTGCTGGGAGCTTATGTTGGTTTCCTGTAAGGTCTGAAGGACGAGCAACATTTTCACGTATTCTTGGGCAGTTGCTCATGAGATGGTGGTGAGGCAGTTTATTTTAAATTTCTGAAAAAGTTAAAAAAAAAGAAAGAAAATGTGTAAAAAGGGAAAAAATTAGCAAGCCGATTCCAGAGACATCGGTGGAGAGATTTGCTCTAAGTGTGGCAGACATCTTAATGAGCACAGGAACCTCAGGAAATGCAGAAGCTATGTGGAAACACCTTCTTCTGTGTCAAGGAAATAAAAATTTCCTGGTACAAATGGAGAGAAAAGGCTTTTTTTTTTCTGGAAAAAAAAGTGGTTATTTCAGAGATATCTTGATTTTTCTCTTTAAAGCTTAACCCATCCGGGTATTGACTTTTCAATCCTCTTTACACCCAATGCTACATTGTAAAAAGTTGTTTCACAAATCCCAGACCATATATTTCTGATTTCTAAGTCTAAAAAATAAGTTTATAGCCCTTGTACATTGAAAAATCCTCAAAAATGCAACTAACCAAACCAAAACTAAAATTTTAAAAGCTTAAACAATAAAACCCCCCAGCTCAACCCACTGCCATCAGGTTGAGTCAAACAGAGTAGAACTATCCCTTAGGATTTCAAAGGCTGTACACAACCCTGCTTGCTGAAACTAAGGGGATCCTGAAGCGCTCCCGCAGAGGGTCGAGGATTTCATCCTTCAATATGGATTGAAGCTCATCATCAAGAAAACAAAGATTTTACCATTGCGTTGATTGGCAGCAGCATGATAGTCTGTGAACAGATTGAGATTGTTCACAACTTTGGTTTGCTTGGCTCCACAATCAACACTCTTGGCACCAGCAACCAGGAAATTAAAAGACGAATTGCACTGGGAAAGTCTTGCTGTCAGAGATCTCTCCAAAGTACTGAAGAGCAATGATGTCAGTCTGGAGACTAAGGTGCATCTGATATAGGCCATGGTCTTTGCAATTACTTCCCAGGCATCAGAAAACTGGACAGTGACTAGGAATGATAGAAGGAGAATTGATGCCTTTGAGCTGTGGTGCTGGAGACGAGTTATTAATTATACCATGGACTGTTAGGTCAAGAAACAAGTTCACTCTGGAGAGGGTGAAACCAGGCTGTTCTTTGGAGGCAAGAATTCTGAAGCTTTGTCTGACATAGTTTTGACATGTTGGAAGATGGGATCAGTCCTTGGAGAGGGACGTCATGCTTGGGAGGGTGGAGGGACAGCACAGGGAGAAAAACCCCCTCAATAAGATGAATTGATTCAGTAACTCGAGTAATGGGGATAGATGTGTCAGAGACAATAAGATTGGTACAGGATAGAGCAAGGTGTAGGGCTGTTGTACATAGGGTCATTATGAGTCACAGTCAACTCAACGGCACATAACAATAGCAATAAACAAATCTTTAGGGAAGGAATTTCTCCAACAGAGCAGATGTTGGATTCAAATTGAGCACTGCATGGTTGAAAATCAGGAAAGGTGTGTGCCATGCGTTTCAATATTGTATCCTTTCTCCATACCTATTTAATCTGTATGCTGAGCAAATTATTTGAGAAGCCAGACTATATACAGAAGACTGTGGCATCAGAATTGGAAGAAGATTCGTCAATAATTCATGTCAAGCATATCACAGAACCTTGCTTGCTGAGAGTGAAGGGAATTTCAAACACCTGCTACGGAAAATGAAAGACTTCATTATGGACGTCATCTGAGCATCAAGAAAATTTAAAAAAAAAATCACCACTGGGTCAACATGCAACAACATGATGCATGGAGAAAGGTTGGAGTTGTCAATGATTTACACTGCTTGGATCTGCTGTCATCACCCTTGGTAGCAGAAGTAAAAAAATTAAAAGACAGTTGCATTGGTGAAATCTGCTGCCTTGGATCTCTTTATAGTGCTAAAGAGCAAGCATGTGTGTTTAAAGACTAAGGTGCACCTGATCCAAGCCTTGGTCTTTTTAGTTGTTTCCTATGCATCTTAAATCTGGACAGAGGAATGGATGCCTTTGAGCTGTGATGTTGGAGAAGAGTACTGAATATCCCAGGGGCTGCCAAAAGAAGAAACAAGTAGGTCCTGGAGGAAGTGTAACCAGGGTGCTCCTTGGAGACAAGAGAGTGGAACTTTTACTTACTTTGAGTATGTTATCTGGAGATAACAGAATTTGGAAAAAGAGATTCTAGGAAAGGTGTAAGGTCATAGAAAGAGATGAAGGTTCGTTACAAGGTAGATTGACCCAGTGAGTAGCACAGTGAGCTGGAGCATGGTAGACATCGTGAAGATGCTGCAGGCTAGGGTAAGGTTCAGATCTGTCATTCATAATGTTGCTATGAGTTCCAGAAGTGCACGGTTCAAATCCACCAGATGCTCTGCTGGAGAAGGAAGGACAATCTCCTCCAGTACTAGTCAGATCCAATTTGACAGTACACACGCAAAAAAATAATAAAATTAAATAAAAAATTTTTAAAAAAAGGTTGCTATGAGTCATTGACTTGATGGCACCCAACAACAACAACACCTGTCCTGTTAACAGCTTACTGCTTAATGTGCTGCACCACCAGGATGCTCTAGTGGTATGCAATAGAGCTTAACCTTCAAAATACCTATATTTATCTTTCAGGATGTTTTATAAAGTTTATACCAATAAAGGATCGTTTGATAATCATTAAAGAAATGCTGGTGGAGCAGTACTTTAGTGCTTATCTAGCAAGCAGAAGGTTGGTGGTTTCAACTCAACAGCTGGTCCTGTGGAGAAAGAGGTGGCAGCTTGCCCTCTTAAAGATTTATAGCCTTAGAAATCTTAAAAAGATTTACAGCCACAGGACAATCTAGTCTGCCCTGTAGCTCTGACTCCTCCAGTGAATCAGAGTTAACTTCACAGCAATGAGTTGTTTATTTTTTTTTTTTTTTCATATTAGTCCCCTTGTTGTTACGTGGCAGGAAGAATCAGTCACCTTAGATTTAAGAAATCTGCTGAACTTTTCCCTCAACCACCACAATTAGCAATGTATTCCCAGAACAGCATGAGACTCCCAGCTCCCTTGCCTTTGCTCCCACCCAGTGCAGCAGCTTGGCCTTTTGCTCTTTTAAGATTAAGGAACTTCCGTGTTAAAATATCCTTACAAGGAGAGTTTACATGCAAGGCTCTGAAATAAGGACAAAACCAAACCAAACAAGGGCACATTGCTGTCAAGTCTGGATTGATTGATTGATAGCTGCCTCTCCAGCCATTTCTCAGAGGCTATAGATCACATGGGAGGAAATTGCCCATCTTTCTCCCATGGGGAAGCTGGTGAATTTGAACTACGTGCCTTTGGGGTGGCAGAGCAACTCCTTATCTGCTAGGCCAGCACATTTTTGTGAAAAAGAATGCTGTCTTAGCCAGGAGAGATTAGATTTTAAAATTTTAAATTTAAGATACTGTTCTAGTGAAACATAATAAATATATACTCAAATAGAAGAACATTTAGGTTAGCACAATTTTTTAAAAAATCCTAGAAATATGATTTCTGTTCACAGAAACTCAATCTCCTAGTGTTCTATTCACAACGTAATTTCATCAATATTGGCAACTAACTGGCAGGCATGACCCAATGCATAAGTCAGATGACAAAGTTAAATCTTAACTGTGTTTTAAAAGTCAAGAAACGGAAATGATTTTATTTTATAGAATGATTCCTAGTGCTGTTACAATGTGACTGGAAGGTTATTTGACAAATCCTTTGTCTTCTAGACTTGTATTGCTACTCATGAATCTAATGGGATTGACATCATCATTGCTTTGATTCTCAATGACATAAACCCGCTTGGTAAATACCGAATGGACCTGGTTCTCCAATTAAAGGTAAACCCAATATTCGGTGAGAAAATTGTCTGTTCTTTACATAAAACTTCAAGGAGTCCTGATGGCACAGTGAGTAGGCGCTGGGCTGCCAGCAGAAAGACTGGCAGTTTTAATCCACATGGGAGCCCAGCAAACTCCTTCTCTCCGGGTGTGGTTTGGCTCTGTCACATGGGCTCACTTTTGATGGAAAGTGACTCACCAGACCCAACAATAGCATAAAACTTCCTTCTCAGAGTTAACTCTCCATCTTCATCTAGCTTTGAAAAAAAATCAATAAATCCTGATATTAATATATATTTTAAGGGATAGATTGATAGAACTGGATAATGAAAACATGGGGGGACACCCCAGTAAAATCCTCATCATCCTTGAGTAGATCTGACTTTATCCTCTACCTCATTGCCTTCGAGTCAGAACCAAATCATAGCTGACCCTCCAGTGGGTTTCCAAGGCTTTGTACTGCATGGGAGGAAATTGCTCACTTTATGCCTAGGAGCTGCTGGTGAGAGGCAAGGCCGCTGGGTTAGCGGTTCAGCTCCCCATGGACTCTGCCACCAGAGCTCCTTGGCCTCCAAGGGACCCTGACTAGCAGAACAGACCTGCTCCATAAGGTTTCCTAGCTAGCATTTTTATGGACACAGACGGCCATATCTTTCTCCTACGGGGCTGCTGGTGTGTTTGAACTACCAGTCTTTCATTTAGCAAGTAAATACTTAGCCATTGAGTCACTAGGGGCTCCTAGTGAATGTAAATTGCTGATAAAATAACAAATAAGATTTGAGATATTGTTCAGTTGGAGGATACTTTATGGAAAGTTTTTTCTAGCAGCCATTTTAAATTTCACTGTTTCTGGCTTTTACTTTATATGTTTCATTATGCAGAGAAACAAAAAGTGCTGAACAGACACTCTATGAGATATTTTTAATTTACCTTGACTACAGAATTCTACCTTGCAAGTCACAATTAATGAGACAATGTGTAAGGAGTGCTGTATTTTCATTTTACAGCTCGCTCTTTCTAAAAGTTCTTCTCCTTTACATTACAATCTTATTTTCTCCTCAAATATTAAACCATTTTCACACTCCCGTTGAGAGGTTCCTTTCAAGCAAGGCTTGTGCGTGCTTCCTGGCAATTCCATTTATCAGAGCTCAGGAGTACAATGGCATTTTAAAAATTTATTTCATCTGATAGTTCAAATGGAAACAAATTGAATGTACACAGTAAACTATAGAAATTCCAAATAGTAAGGCAGGTATTCAATTGAGATGAATTATTAAAGACAACATTATCATATTTAATGTTAAACAGGTACAAATAAAATATATATATTTGATTAAATATAATTTCCTATAAAAATAAGTATACTCAGTTTCATGGAAAATAAAATTTAATTTAACCCTGTACAAGTAAATTTATAGCCAAGAAGAATAAGTAAGATATTTTATGATTCTGTCTCTGGATGTAGATTTCTTTGTATAATGGGTTACAGGTAAGCTCTACTTACGTGAATATTGGGTATTTATTTGTAAGCACATATTTCTACAGCTAAACATGATAAATTTTTTGATTGTTTGAAGGTATGACATGTATAAATTTTGAATCTTTCCATCCTTAATCCTTATGTCTTTTACCTCTTGAACCTTATGCTTCAGTTAATGAAATCAGAAGTTTTATATGCTAGCTTAATTTAGGCAAATAGAAGAATTTTTCTATTTCACCTTAAATTCATCTTTATTGTAATTTATAAACTATGTATGAAAGACTTGGTTGTTAGTATATGAAGGCTTTTATTAAAGACTATCCTTTAAATCTCATGTTAATGAATATCATTTAATAGAGAAAATACTACATTATAATTTTAAAATAAAATAGAGACATATATTATTAGGAGTCCAGTCCTATGTATAAAGAAATGATGAACTGTTACTTCTTAGTACAAAAAGATTTCTACTTAATCAAATATAAACATTTTAAAAGCTTGATTTACATTTTTATTTAAGAATAGTCGATATACCTTTTAGAAATGTAACAATGTAAAACAAGATTTACCTAAGATTTTAAATATATATTTTTAACTTTAAAAATTTAATTATTCCTACTTAAAAAATGAGTTGACTATCCCTTTTCTAACAGTTTATGAGGTGATAGATAGATTCAGTATATGAACATTTTTTATTACATTTATTGGAAAATTTATAGGGTGTTTTAAGATGAGTAGGGTGCTTTAAGACATTTAGTTCTCAGAATGTTACAGAGATATATTCACTTCACTAGTTTTGCTTCATATCATTCATATGTAAGTTAAATTTTTAACTATTTCTAACTTATGGGAGAAAGATAGGCAGTCTCCTTCCATAAGATTAACCACCTCTGAAAACCCAGTGGAGGGTCAGGTATGTGTCATTCCAATTCAATGGCACATAACAACAACAACAACAACAACAACAAGAAAATTTATGTACATTTAACTCTATATACTTAGTATGATATTTTATTAATTGTTCTGGGTATATATCTTGCCCGGTACTTTTTATTTTCATAATCTGTGAATATGAAGTGCTGAATTTATAAATAAACACATTTTAATTTCCTTTTTAAAAAGAATCCCTCTCCCTTTGGAAGTCACTTTTCTACAAATACTGACTTTTGTACTTGATTTCTTAGTATATGTATAGCTGCTTGTACTTTCAAATTGGTTCAGATTTCAGAAGATCATTTACAATATTTCTATTCTTCCAACATAGTATTAAAAAGAAGATTGACTAGAAGAAAGAAAATGCCAGATTGCCAACAGCGTTCTGAAATTGGGTCTATTTTTAAGCTATTATGTATTGAGCCTGGTGAGCATGCTTCATTAGAGAGCACTGTTAGTGTTACCAGGTCATATGCTTTGAATTCTGCGAGGGTCAGTTCAGATCACTCTACGAATTTAAACTCTTCATTAATCCTGGAGATGTATTACCATTTATAATGCTGTTTTTAAGGAGATACTTGATTTTAGTAAAGAATATTAGGAGTAGCACAAATCAATAAAAGATAAAAATGAACCAGAAAAAAAACTCTTTCCCCCCCATAACACTAAACTCTTTTCATAATAGTTATTGGTATCATTGCATCACATCGTCATGTTACTGATGTTAGTCATTTAAAAAAATACTCTTTAAGCTGTACCTTTGGAAGAAAAAATATAGTTGTATAGAATTTGGTGTAAAAAATACTGAGCTGAATTAATGTGCACAACCTTAACTAAATGTGTGCTGTGATGTCTAAGTAGAATAAACAGCTGAATCAAGTTAATATTTCATCCTGTGAGAAAGATGTTAACACAGAGGCACTTGGAAACACATTGCCACCATGTTGAACTATTTTCTTTTGTGCTCCTATCAAAGATTTTGTGTTGAGATTCCTATCTAAATGAGTATCACATAAACAGTACAATACAGCTCCTGTGTATTTTTCACAGCTTGCAATTTTGCCAAAATTCTGTGGTAGCCAATATATTGAAAACACAGTTTCAGGAAACACCTTTCAAGATGCTTAGCTTTGCGTGTAAGGTTTTCTTAACTCCCTGGTTCCCTTTATAAATTGTAAATTGACTGCCTGAGACACTATTTTTATCTATGAAATATCCATAGGTAAAAATGTTTGTGGCAAATAGGATGTTCATAGGCCATATTAGAACTCTTTAAAGAGGAATATTTTTATTCAATCTAAGTTCTTTTCATTCCCTATTAAGCAAAAATAAAAAGTAATAGTATTCCACACCCTAGATGGTAAACATTTTCAAATACAGTATGACCTAGAGAAAGTGGTAAAATAGTAAGAAATAAACTTCTATTTTATTCTTGAAATTAACTCAAATTCAGAATTTTCTAGATTATTTCTTACCGATCATTACTAAAATTTATTTAGAAGTGTTAATTTGTCAAAGTATATTAGTGTTTAATACTAAAATCAATTATGTTAAGGTCTTTAAACTATATAATGAAACATTTATATATCCTTGATACATGTTCATCATACTAGCTTGTTAAAACATATTCATAATGTAATTTTTTAAGTTACGGTGAAAGAAAATAGGCTTATATTTTAACATATTATGTGAAAAATTAATTGCATTTAAATTGCCTTTTTCCATTATTTAAACATAACCCCTTAATAGATTTCACATGACTCATTATTTTTATTTTATGTTGACAATAAAGCAAAATATTTGGTTTTAAAATGTTAATAAAAAATCATTTAAAATTCTAATTTGAAGAAAAAATGGTAGGGGTTATCTGAGTTAAAAATGAAAGCAAAGATCAGTCGTTAATCCATTAAATAGACATTACATTTGCATTAACTCCTTTTTTCTGTGTCTAGAACAATGCCTCCAAGCTTTTGCTGGCCATTATGGAGAGCAGACATGACAGTGAGAATGCAGAAAGAATCCTTTTTAACATGAGGCCCAGAGAACTGGTAAGCGTGCTCCTGAACGCTGTGGAGCTTAAAAGGACAAGTTTATGGAATAGGTTTCAGAAAAATATCTACTGACTTTTACTCTTTTTACCAAGGTGTAATGATATATCATGACCCCCCACTATGAATACAGAAAGCTCCATAATGCAAAGGCCTACGTGATTTGAGTCCTGATAACTTCATTAGTTTTATTCCCTCCAAGCATCTGTCTTAGCCAATTGCCACACTCCACAAAACTATCTGTAAATTTTTTCCCCTGAAAACAAACTTGCTTTACTTTAATGGTACATCTGAACATACCAGGAAGATGTGTAAATACACACACACACACACACACACACACACACACACATCTCTTTTATAGCATTAAAAATTATTGCTGCCTTCTTCCTTCTGGAAAATAAATTTAAAATGAAATTTTAGCCTAGGTCTTGTCAATGAAATGCCATGCAATACATGGTTTAGAGGAAATTGTTCAGAGTTTTTATAGATTCTAGAGAAATAACTAGTGTGTCTTTCCTGTTTATTTCCTCTTCACTCATGCCATACAGAGTATGAAGTAGTATGTTGTTATATGCTAGGCTCTGAATCTTCCTCTGCCCTTTGTCAACATTACCATCTTTGACACACTTGACCTCATTTCCACAGTTCCTGTGTCAGTTCATCACATCCAGGATCTTCTTCTCCTGGGGTGATGTTCTACCCTTCTTAGCATGATGTCCTGTTCTAAAGCTTATCCCTGATAACATGCACAAAGTACATAAGGCGGAACTTCAAAATCCTTGCTTCCAAGGAGCCAGCCTGGTTTCATAGCCAGGCTTTTCATGGGAGCATACTTCAACCACATAGTCCAATGGTACTAATTCCATTCACATCAGTACTAATGTTGTGAGTATACTGGGGAAATAGAAAAGACCGGAACCCCACTGGCTTGCTCTGTCTTTACTGGTGAAGAATGGGATTGAAGAGAATAAGTAAGGAGATGGTAAGATGTGGTTCTATTTAGCATCTACTTCCTAAACAACATGCCTCTGGAAACTATGAACTTTGATAAATGTTGATAGTTATAGAAAGGCTTCAGACCTTTTGTTCATAGGGTCACTCACTATGAATCATGCCTGATTCAGAGGCAATCAACAGAAACAAGAATGTGTACTGTGTGCAGAGTAGTTCATTAAGAGGATTGAGAGATTATGGTATATCCACACAATGAAATACTGTGTAGCACGCAGGAGCAATAACTTTGTAAATTATTACCTAGCTTGGGAGGGACTGGAGAGTATTATGCTGAGTGAACTAACTCAGTCCCACAAGGATAAATATTTTGTAAAACCGTTATTGTAAAATGAGTATAAGGATCCAGGAGGGGCAAGAGACGCTGGAAGTAGAGGGATGTGGATGTGCAGGGGTCAGGAGCATTAATCATTGGTTGTATAATTTGATGGATGGGGGTGTGAGGGAAATTGAAAGAATTTGTTCGAATTTGTATTCAAATTTTTAAATAAACTAGTAGAAAAAAAATAAAGTACATGAAAGAAAAAAAAAGTAGTTCATTAAGAGAAGCAATATTCCCTATCTTTATGGTAAAATGGAGCAACAAGTTACGTATTTGTCAACACTGGTGAGAAAATAGCACTCTATTTTGTTGTCATTGTTTTTATGTGCCATCGAGTTGCCTGCAACTTATAGCATCCCTACGCACAATAGCTCTGAACTCTGTCCTATTCTGAGCTAATCTCACTGTCTCCGACACATCTGCCCCTGTGATCCCAGTTACTGTGTCAATCCATCTTATCCAGTGTCTTCCTTTTCTGCATTGTCCCTCCACCCTTCCAAGCATGATACCCTTCTCTAACCTACAGCACCTTTCCCCTGTTCTTCCTCAAATCCCTCCATCAACCTCTTGCCTGAGTTAGGTGCTTGTTCAAAGCTTCTTCGGCACCTTACATGTAGCCTTGCCATAGTGCTGAACATACTTTCTCTGCTTTTGCCTCTGTACTTTCTGTCTTTTCTATTAGACAGTAAGTTCTTTGAGAGCTAATACTGTGTTAGATCCTCAATGCCCTGTACAATGTCTACTGTTACCTGAGGGATACTTAGTAAATTATGGATGCACTTTAGTCTTCCATGTCTCCTAATGTAAAGTGAGGAAGGAACTTAACTGGACTCACCTTAATTTTAGTGGCGAAATCATTTAGTGCAGAACTTCAAGGGTACTAACATTCAATTTAGTGCAGGTACATTCATGCAATGGAATACTATGTTGCTCTAATGTAACGTGGAAGAGACTAGAGACCATTGTGCTTAGTGGAATTACTCAGTTACATAAAGGACAAATACTACATGAGACCATTTTTGTGAAAATGAATGGATATAACTGTGCAAGATGTTATAAATGTTTGGAAGAGAAGGGAGAGAGGGAGATGAGAGTGGGAAATTGGAAAAGAGAGAAATCATTAGGATAGGAGAGGTTAGTAGGCAGGTGAGAGTGCTGAAGGAATAGGAAAAATTCAGTGGAAACTAGAAAAGATGAGGTAATAATAGGCATGGGCAATATGGTAAGTAATTATAAAATACAATGTATATGGATGATTGTATAAAACACAATGCACATAATTAAAACACAGTGCAAATGAATTCTTGTATGCAAACCAGTAAGAATATAAAGAGAAAAAAAGAACAACAACAAAAAAACCCACAAAGGAAAATTATAGGAAAGTGTTTCATTATGGAAAGTAAGTTATTAAGTAAAGCTGGTTTCTAGTAATTTTCATTTAGAATCATTATTTTATACGTTAGGTGTCTTGAGAAACTTCCTAGCTTTTAATTCTGTCTGATAGCCAATGTAAAATGTATCTTTTGCTGTGGTATCTCAGTTCACTTTTCAATTTTTTTTATTTTTTTTTTAATAGGTGGATGTGATGAAGAATGCTTATAACCAGGGGCTGGAATGTGATCATGGGGATGATGAGGGTGGAGATGATGGTGTTTCCCCAAAAGATGTTGGACACAATATCTACATTCTGGCCCACCAGGTATTCCACTTTACAGCTGTGTTTCTGTTTCAATATTTGTTAATACTGACATTCATGTTTTGTGTCAGTGATGCTTACTGTATTGGCAAGTTGGAGTTCTTCATTTGTGCAGATCTTACCCTTGTAGATCTGGGCCAGGTGGGAGCACAGACTCTAAAGTCTGTTTGTGCCTCCCCAGCATGTGCTAGGAGACAGCTTAAGGGAAACCATTGCTTGATGTCAGAACCTGCTTGACCAGGAGGAAAGGGAGAGTCCTTCATCAGAGCCTAAAGCATAGATAAATCATGGCAATATGCGGAAATCACAAAGAGGAGGCAAGGTTACTAAGAAAACAACATAAAATAAAGAATGAAGTCCAGAATACCAGGACAAGCTTTCAGATGACTTTTGACCTCTCTGAAGACAGTAATACAAAAGCCATCAAATTAAGTTGAAAGATTTTAACTTTTTTCCATCAATCAGCTAACAAAGGGGAGATTAAATTTTAAATTCCTTTAAAGAAATCACTTCCATTGGAAAACTCATAGAAACAGTTGCTTGAGAAGTATTCTTTGATTATACATAATGTGAAGAACAATTTTAGATTTGACAGAAAGCAGAGTACCAGAAGAATGTCTATCTGTGTTTCATTGACTATGCAAAGGCATTTGACTGTGTGGATCACAATAAATTGTGGTTAACCTTGAGGAAAATGGGAATTGCAGAACACTTGATTGTGCTTATGCAAACCCTATACTTGGACCAGGAAGCAGTCCTCACAACAGAGGAGGGAAACACTGCATGTTTCAAAATCAAGAAAGGAGTGTGTCAGGGATGCATCCTGTCTCTCTACTACCCTTTCAATGTGTGTGCAGAACTGATTGTTTTGGAAGCAGGGCTTTATGAAGAGGAATGTGGCATCAGGATTGGAGGAAGACTCAACAACAACCAACATTATGCAGATGACACAACCTTGGTTGCTGAAACTGAAGAAGACCTGAAGATTTTGCTGCAGGAAGTCAAGAAGTGTCGTCTTCAATATGCATTGAAGCTCAACATCAGGAAGACAAAGATTCCACCACTGGGCCACCTGACAGCACCATGATAGTTGGAAAAGATATTGAAGTTGTTAACAATTACAGCTTGCTCAGCTCCAAAATCAACACTCTTCATACCAGCAGTCAGGAAATAAAAAAATGAATTGCATTGGGAAAATCTGCTTCCAGGCACTACTCCAGAGTGCTGAACAGCAAGGATGTCAGTCTAGAGACTAAGATGTGCCTAATCCAGGCCATCGTCTTCACAATTACTTGTTCTGCTTCAGAAAGCTGAACAATGAAGATGACAGAATAATCAATGCCTCCAAGTTGTGGTGCTGGAGAAGAGTCGTGGACTGTCAAGAAAACAAATAGGTCTGTCATGGAGAGGGTGAAACCAAGTTTCTTCTTGGAGGCTAGAATTTTGAAATTCTGTCTCACATACTTTGGGCCCATGGCCAGGAGAGACTGATCCTTGGAGAAGGACATCATTCTCAGAAAGGTAGAGGGACAGTGCAGGAGAGGAAGACCCCAGATGAGATGGACTGATACAGTAAGTAGGGCAGTCGAGGTTGGTGTGTTGGATTTAGTGAGACTGATTTAGTATAAGGAAGGGTTAAGAGCTACTGTAGATAAGTTTGCTATGGGTCACAAGTGACTCAGTGACACATACAACAACAAAAAAATTATAAGTTGTATAATGTTTGGTTGATTGTTTTTTATTTAAGCCTCTCATTTAGAGTCAACAGGACCTGGTGCAAGGCCCTTGTATTTAAAAGTCGATTGGGCCCAAGATCCTGTGTCTCTCACGCCTAGTGTTACTATATTTTGGCAAATCATTCTTCTAAGTGATACAACACTGGTCTGTCCATTTGCTGTACAGAGGTAACCTGGGGTTGCTGTGGTGCTGAACCCTGTGCCACTGGTGTGTCAAATGCTATAATGGTTACCCATGGTGAGCAGTGTTTAGTGGAGCTCCCAGAGTGAGACAGGCTTGAAAGCGAGAGAGGCACCCACTTCCTAAACAGTATATCTCTGGAAATTCTATGAACTTAGAGAAACTATGATAGTTATAGAACAGTTCATCAGGGCGTTATGAGTCTTGCTCAACTCAACAGCAGTCAACAACAACAACAATACAGATCTGTTAAAAGTTAACAATTCTACACTTAAGTATGCCAATTTGATTTTATCCCTAATACCGCTGTCTTATTGTAGAGAATAAAGTCCAAATTTTATATTTCCCCAAATCTTTTCTTCCCATTGACAACGCTTCTTCTCCTATTTCCTAGTGTATCTTGTCATTTAGTTCTCAAAGCCTTGTTAGATAGAAGGTCTGGTTTTTGATAGGCTTTGTTTGAAAAGGTTGTTCTTTAGTCTGTTCTTGCCATGCTCTCTCCTCAGTATCTCTCTGTAATGTCTGTAAATATGAATAATTTTTACAATAGTTTCAAGGAATGAGTGTATATATATATATAATCTTGTTTTGTAAAATGGTTGGACAGTTGAGAAGATGTTAGATTTCATATTGGATCAAAATGCATAAGCTATAAAGGAGAGGGCAGTAGCTGTAACTGTAACTGATGGCATTCTGACTGTGGCTGGAATGACTAGAGAGCATTTTAAGCATGAAAGCTAAGGCCCTTGTAGAAATAGTGAGCATCCTTGACCATAATTTATTAATTGGTCAATATAGTTTTTCAAACCTAAGCATTCGTTTTCATTTCTAAACTAAAATGAAAGACAAGTGGAAGGAAGTAGAAGAGAGACGCTTCACCTGTGGAGACTACACTTGGGAAAAGGGATAGTTTTAGAGTGAAAGAGAAATCAGGCAACAGCAATGGAGTTAACTAGGACACGGGTGATTAGAGGTTGAATGTGAAAGGGGGGAATCACAAGCTGAGAATTAAAATTTTAATAGAATTTTTAGTAAAATTCTATAGGTTTCTAGAAGGAATAGAGAAATATGAAGAACATAGTAATTTTTCAATAGTTAAAACCCAAGTGTTGTGGAAGGGAAAAAGCAAGCAGGGGAAATTAGGCCAGAGTGAAAAGTAACAAGTCCTAGAAGAAGGAAGTAGGGAAATAAAGCTACCCATATTTTCTTGAGTAAAAGTATGTATTGCTCTGTGTTGGAAAGTCCCCTCTGGTGCCTGAGCAGCCTCTCAGGAGGGACTGAGCAGTAGCTGTTACACACGAACTGAACAATCACATCAGCTAAGTTGGTCCCAAAACCAGTGAAGTGACAGATGTAATATGACAGATGTTCAAGCCAGACCTTTCTATATCTGAGAAAAAAAACTTTAAGAAAGCAATTTCAGTAATGAGGGGTAGCAATGAAAATATCAGTGTTAAAAAAATTTTAAATTCTTTTAAAATAATCACTTCTAAACGTATGTATACTAATTTAATTTCATCTGTAACACTCCATCTTTCAGGTCAATTCAATTATAAACAAACTTATTAGATCAGAGAATATAAATACCAAAAACAAATGAAGTTGGTCTTTGAGAATCATCAAGAGCAATGATAAAGACAGTAAGAATTGTAGATGAAAAGATGATACCATTAAAAAGGAGAAAAGCTGTATGTGGAAGAGGTTAGAGATAAAGATAACTTAAAAGTCAATGATTTTGATAGATTAGGTCTAGTAAAATGGTTGGTGAGGTGAACAGACACACTAAAAAAATTAATTGTGCAAGAAGAGAATGTTCATAAATAGTGGAAAAGTAACAAGGGAAAAAGACAGCTTACTAAGAGAAAGTGAAGAGAGAAAACAATGCATGTGAAAATTAATGGAGTAGAAGTGAAAATTTTTCAAAATCTGAAAATCAAAATGTTGAAAAAATCAGTAAATTCTAGAATAGGGAAGTTTCATTATAGAGGTTTATAAACAAAATCAAAGTCCAGGAAGGGAGAAAGTTGCACCAAATAATTAAAAGAAGAAGATTGTGAATAGAAAAACACTTTAAGTCTTATGATTAAGTTGGAGAGTTTGAACATAAATGAAAGCCTATATGGGTTTATTCAAAGAATTCATCATAGAGGTCTTAAGACACAAACCCAAAACCAACCCCCTCTGTTGAGTTCATTCAAGCTCATCCTGCCACACCACTGAGTTTTTATGACTGTAAATCTTAATGGGAGCAATCTTGTCTCATCATTCTCCAACAGAGCAGCTGGTGGATTTGAACTTCTGACCTTTTGGTGGTGGTTGTTATGTGTCCTTAAGTCAGAATTGACTCATAGCTGACCCTGCAGTGAGTTTTCAGAGGCTATGAATAGCATGAGAGAACACTGTTTATTGTCTTTCTCCTGGGGTAATTGGTGTAGGTACATCAGAGACAGTGATATTGGCTAAGAGGGCAGGACTTACAGCTTTTGTGGATAGGGTCTCTATGGATCACAGTCAACTCAATAGCACATAACAGCCACTTCCTTTGGGGTCACAGCACAACTCCTTACCAATCAGACACCAAAGCTCTCTGACCTTTTGATCAGCAGCCTGACATATAACTTATTAAGCCACTAGAGCTCCAAAGAGTGTTAAGGAATGGAAAAAATTGTGGACCAATTGTTAAATTCATGGTCAAGTACCCTTGCAACTTCTGTAGAACCTTGTTTCTTCTGTAGAACTCAATTTTGGTATCAGCTTTAACCAACACCTCCCTTATAACCAGACCCATTTTTATAATCAAGAATCCCTGGGAGATTTCTTCTTACTCCAGAAATCATCTCTTCCCTATCCAAGGCACCAGACCCAAGAGTAGAAATTAACTTTGGAAGTAGGAACCAAAGCCTCACTAATTTGAGTTCTTTGCTGACAAAACAAAAGTATTGATATGAGTGATGTTGTTGTTGTAGTTATGTGCCATCAAGTCATTTGCGACTCATAGCGACCCTGTGTACAACAGCCCTAAACCCTGCTCTATCCTGTGCCAATCGCCACTGCCTCTGACACACCCATCCCGATTACCCCAGTCA